ATCTGTAAAATTTTTTTCTAAAAACTGGTACTAGGTAACTTTTTGAAGTCAGAGGGTAGGAAATAAAGTTGTTGAGAAAAGAAGAGAGAAGAACGCATCACACTTTAGGCATTCTTTTGTGAAACATGCCTTAAGGAAACAGAATAGCATCTATGGATTTATACTTATATTTTTCAAAAATTGCCCCTAAACATCTATATTAGTCAATGTTTTCCAGAAAAATAGATGATGACTCCAGCCTCGTTAAGTTTCAGTTTGAGAAAGCTCAAAGTTGCCAAAAGAATTTATTGTTTGTTCCAACCAATATCTTATTTTGGTGCTATATTTTACAATTCTTCTCTAACGCTGACTAATCTCCTTTTTTAATCAAAAGAAATCAAACTCTAAATGAATCACATTTTTTATTCATTATGCTGATACTGTTAATTTTTAATAGGTCATTACACTGTTTCCATTTATAGTAATTATACAAAGTTTTCTATTTAAACATTTACATATAAAAGGTAAGTTAATTTAAATAAAAATATTAAATATATAAGAGAAACAGGAAGGTTGACAAAAATACTCTTCCTGACTAAACTATAGCCAGGTTCCTCTGAGCCCTTTTACTGGCAAAGCCTCCACCTTGGCCTATAAGAACTACAAAATTCGCAGCGCAACTGATTTCATCCACATCCTCCTTACTCCCACCCTTATGCACATTATCAAAATACTTGAACAAACACCAGTATAGTTTCTGACAGCTCAGGTTTGCATTTGTAAGAAGAAATTTAGAGTTATCCTGGGCTTCTCCCTCTCTATCTCACTACATCAAATCAATCCTATTAATTTTGTCTCCAAAATGCCTACTCATCATTTCTTCATACTCTGCCACTGATTCACCCAGGACCTTACTGTGTCTCACCTAGATTATTAAAATAAAAAACTCACCTCTCCTTTTCATTCTCATCACCTCATTTGATTTCTTTTCAATCCATTTTATACATCATTGTTAGAGACAGCTCCCTACAATAGCAAAAAATCTGTGTTATTTCCTTTCTTACAATTGTTTCCGCATAGATTAATGGTGAAATGCTAACAAGTAAGTTCCTGTTCAAAGCCCTTCAAAAAGTGATACAAACCCTTTTTTCTATAAATGATTCCTTCTCTAACCCATACACTTTCTATTTTGTAATAGGAAAATATTTGTAAAGATCCAATTTTTATGTTCAAAATTTGAAAAAAATATAAAGGTCTAAAAAACTCAGAATAATTTAAAAACGGGCCTCAAAAATAGACTGAAAGATGTGTTTTATACTGTAGACCCACGGTGGCACAATTTTAGCTGCCTAACAGCAATACCAGAGAGCCTTTGTTTTTTTTTTTTTTTTTTTTTTTTTTGAGACGGAGTTTCACTCATGTTACCCAGGCTGGAGTGCAATGGCGCGATCTCGGCTCACCGCAACCTCCGCCTCCTGGGTTCAGGCAATTCTCCTGCCTCAGCCTCCTGAGTAGCTGGGATTATAGGCACGCACCACCATGCCCAGCTAATGTTTAGTATTTTTAGTAGAGACGGGGTTTCACCATGTTGACCAGGATGGTCTCGATCTCTTGACCTCGTGATCCACCCGCCTCGGCCTCCCAAAGTGCTGGGATTACAGGCTTGAGCCACCGCGCCCGGCCATGAGCCTTTGTTAATATTGTGTGATTATCCTCTAAAATTGTGCAAGTGTTTTAAATGTCTACTGTGATACTACTTTAATCATTTATTAATGGTATTGTTAGTATTAAAAATGCTCCACAATATCAATAACTTTGCAACAGAATTTAGAGTTGATATTTATAGATTGTTTTTATTCATTACTCCCTTTGTTATGGGCTGAATTGTGTCAACACTTCCATGTTCATATGTTCATGTTCAAACTGCCAGTATGTCAGAATGTGACTGTATTTAGAGACAGGGTCTTTAATGAGACCATTAATTTAAAAGTATTATGATTAGGACTAGAGTCCTGATAAGAAAATCAGGACACAAACATGTATAGAGGGAAGACCCTGCAAGAACACATAAGAAGGTGCTGATCTACAAGCCAGAGAGGTCTCAGAAGAAACCAGCTGTGCTGATACATTGATCTTAAACTCGTAGCCTCCAGAATTGTAAGAAAATAAATGTCTATTGTTTAAGCCACCAAGTCAGTCTGTGGTACTTTGTTATGGAAGCCCTAGCAAACTCATATTCCCTTCAGTATATTTACAAATATAGAAACCATACAATAGTTGTGGATTAATGTTCTGTATAAGAATGCAATCTCCCTATTATATATTTATTCTTACAGATAAACTGAGTCTTGATTTATGAGTTTGCAAATTATATGAGCTCTTCAGAACTCCTTGCCTCAGATAAAATGTCACTGTCCTGAATGTTGGCTGTGTTCCTCTACTGACTATTAACCCCATATACTGTGTGTTTAGTTCTTCACTGTGTGACGCTAGACAGTTTTTTAAAAAGCATGGACCATATTTTTCTTGGAAATCTATAAAACAGAGATAATAAGAGTATCAGCAATAGAGGGCTCCGTGAAGATGAAACAAATTGATACAAAGTATGTAGGTAGTGCTGGAAACTGAGAACATGTGCTGTGCTGTTGATTATTCCTCTGCTTACCTTCCATTTATCTCCTTGGGTAAAAATAAAAAAATGCTTATCCTTCAAAGCACAGAAGAAAATATACCTCCTTTTTGAAGTTCAGTGGCTATACCTCCTGCTTCTTTTCAAGTTGAATAATAAATCAAGTTGTGCTGTCAAAGATATTGCAAGAGATGAGCTTTAGTTTCCAAAAATTTGGATTCAAATAATTTTTGCATTTATCTATTATGTAATTTTAGACATTTTGCTTAATTCATTTGAGTTTCCACAGCTAGCATGGCACCTGACATAGTGGAGTTCAGTATTTTCCTAATGAATATGTTTTTTCATTTGTAGGTTGGGGAATATGATGTCAGTCTTATAAGATATTGTGGTTTTTTAAAGTGTGAGACAAATACCTGTGGAGGCACCAGATAGATTTAGGTGAGACATAGATGTGGTATCAAGGACACTGTGTCATTCAGATATAGTTTTTCTTTCAACCTTATTTAAATGCTTCTTGTTAGGTCAAAGAAAAAAATCTCAGTTTGAGGCTAATATTTTAAAATTCTTTTCTAATATTTGCTAATCTTCCTTTTGTAATCCATACAGACCAAACCTAAAGTTGAATCATATTTTTTATTCATTACAGTTATATTTACTGTTACTCTTGACAGGTCATCTTGCTTTTTCTATTAATGGTAATCTACAATGTTCTCTTTTAAAACACATTCATGTTCATATAAAGGTAAGTTAAATAAAAATAACAAGTATATATCGGTATGAGGATTGACAGAGATTCTCTCCTTAACCAAACTCTACCCAGGCTTCTCTAAGCCCTCTCATCAGCAAAGCCTCAAACTTATCTATAAAAACTACAGACCGTCAGCACAAATGATTTCATCCACATCCTTCCCCTACCCACTCGCCCACACACATTAAAAGACTTTAACAAACTAATATAGTTTCTAACAGCTTTAAGATGAAGCCCCTTTAAATTTTTGTCTGAGACAGCTCACTGCTGACAAAATAATTTGTTACAGCCAGCAGGTGAAGGTAGGACCCCTGTTTCTGAGCATTTGCAGGAAGGGTAAGAGCCTAATTTCCATAAGCAACAGTTAACAAGCCAGGTGGATTCAAATGGACCATTCTCCTGCCCTTGCTTTTTGTAAATTTCCATTTCCCTGACTTTGATCAAGTTGTTCTCTCTCCCTTCTCCTGTATTCTCCTTTTAAAATGCAGTCACCTCTGTACAAATTGTAGTTTAGTTCATTCTGGATCTTCATCCCGATTGCAATAGTATATCACTGTAATAAAAATCTGTCTTCACCACTTTAACTGGTGTCTTCTTTTGTTTATCTCTGACAGTATATGGTGAAAATTAACGAGGGTAATGTGCAAATTAGGTAAGTCTGGGCAATACTGAATATAAATTATTGTGCTCACTTCAAGACAGTTGTTAAATTCATTCTCTTACAAGTGTGACAGAATTATCGTGTATCAAGTACTGTTTAATTCATAAAAATTCCAACAAAGAACTGAGTCTGCTACAGAATTCTTGATCCGAAGAATTCCCCCAAATAAAGAAACTTTCAGAGGCTCTGGAAACAATACGAAGGATTCTGTCTTCAGTCACAATGGTGAATTGAACAGAGTTTTCATCTTCCTCCTTCGCACCAAACTCTGGATATTCCAGAAAAGCGCAAGAGAAGTAGTGGGAGACACCACTTATCATCTCTATTTTATTCCCCATTCTTACTTTGCCAGAGCTCATTCGACGAAGTGGTAACTTGATGACGATGGAAACATTGGGCGTCCAGCATGGAACTTTTCCCCACATTTACTTCTTGCCAAAACCTTCCTAGATTCACTATTACATTCAATGTTACGGCCCGTATTCCTTTCAGATGCAGTTTAAGATTAGCTCAGTCAATGACAACATGGGGAATATATTTCGACCTCCAGATTTTAAAAAAGCCATTATTATTTTGTCATTAGGTAAAAGGCTAAGCCTCAATGTTGTGCTAATAATAGTATCTTTAAGCCCCTGCACTTAAGATCTCGCCTCCTGGTTCGGGAATCAGATTGCCTGGGCAGCCCGCCAGGCTCCACAGCTTCCCACCCGTGAGCTCCTAGGCAAGTCACTCGGTCTGGATTTCCTGAGGTAGTTTGAGGAAACTGACAGTACACACACCACAGGGCAGTAGTGAGGAAGAAAGAGACAATGCAAAGGAATTGGCACAGCACTCAACAGATAATACAAGCTAGTATGTACTCTTTCTACACACTGCATTTTAGGGAGTCAATTGAAAGCTTCGATTCATATAACCTCTCCACTACCCGGCGCCAAGACGCGCTGATGTCACGACGTCGTGCGGCGTGCAGACGTCAGCAAACTGCGCCGCGTCTTCGGGGTTCAACCGGAGCCGGCAATTGGGCGGAACCATCAGGGGTTCATTGTCTCGTCCGCTTCAGAGGATCTGTTTGAGTCCTGTCCATCGGACCCTACCGGGGTACCTTCGAATAAAAGCGGGCTATGCTGCTGTTGCGTGTTGGTACCCTCTCCTGACGCCTCCTCCGCCCGGGTCATGTTGACCTTCGTGGGTCGGGGCTGGGGGTGCGCACGCGCGCTCGCGCCGCGGGCCACAGGGGCCTCCCTTCTGGTGGTCCCGGGGTCCCGGCCCGCGTTAACCTTCGGGGCTGCCCGGGAGTCCTGGGCTACCGACAGGCTCTACAGCGCCGCTGACCTCAAGGTGACTGCCCCCTGGAATATGATTTAGCCACGTTTTAAAGTTAGAGTGCCCCATGCGATCTTGGAAATGTGCAAGACTTCCTAGGACTAGCTTTAAACCCTGTTTGCCACTTGGTACAGTGGGGCAGAGCGGAGAGTGTGAGCACTGCTTAGGTTCCCGACCCTCCACTGCTCACTAGTGTGACCTTGGGAAAGTCACTGACTTCCTGGGTTTTCTCATTCGCAATGTCAAATGTTGATTTGTTTATGCGAGCCACTGGGTCGAAGCGCTTTGTGTGTATTCATCTTTTTAATTCTAAAAAGCCTGCTGAGAAAGTTGCTAGTAAATATTAATAAAACGTCAATTTTCCTGCAAATTAACTAGCTATGTGACCTGGGTAAGTTACTTCTTTGTCACTCTCCTGCTTCATTTGTTGAATGCAGAAGGAATCAAACATCCAGTCGCTAACTTGTGTGATGTGAGAAGTGGACTTTCTTAGACTAATACCTAATACCTAGAATTCAAGAAGTGCTCGGTCTTTGTAGTTTTATAATTTCATTCTACCTCAGCAGGGGCAAACCTGTGTAATTTTGACTCTGCGGTGGGAGAGGGTGGGAGGTTCAACAACTCTGATAATTGTGGAGGGACACAGTTTGGGCAGAAAACTGAAGCGGTTGAAGGCAAGCTATAAGTAAGCGGAAAAACAAAACCTTATAATTAATCAACTTTGGTCCTAATATGCCTGTGATTTTAAAAATGGATTTATATTGCAATTCTGAGTTCTTAAAAATGGTGCAATTCTGTATAACTTTTGAACTGAAGAGAAAAAATCTACAGGGCAAACATCAGAATTAGTTTAAAAAAATTTTTTTTGGCAAACTTTCAGCTGTAATTGTGCTTTTATTATCTGTCTTGTATTAGGCTACTATAAAAGAACCTAAAGCTCATGTGAATTTTATATTTCATTGTAATTTCATGGTTTTGCTGATGGTGAAATACAGATTTGATTGGAAAAATGTTTTGAGTACAAATAACTGGTATATTTTGCTTGATACCAGTTTCTAGCAGATTGTGGTGTGTTTCAGTAAACCGTTAAAGATGTGTACACTAAAAACCAGGAGTTCCATTTTAAAATATTTTTAAATTTTAAGCGTTAAAAGTTATTTGTCTTATGTCATTTTTTTTCTTTCTCACCAGAGAAGCTGCCAAGTAGCAAAATTGTATCTAAAATAAAATTTTGAAGCCCAATTAGAAACACAGAGTTTTTGTTTTTGTTTTTGTTTTTGAGACAGAGTCTCAGTCTGTCACCCAGGTTGGAGTGCAGTGGCACTATCTTGGCTCACTGCAACCTCCACCTCCCAGGTTCAAGCGATTCTCCTGACTCAGCCTCCAGATGAGCTGGGACTACAGGCATGTGCCACTATGCCCAGCTAATTTTTGTATTTTCAGTAGAGATGGGGTTTGACCATCTTGGCCAGGCTGGTCTTGAACTCCTGACCTAGTCATCTGCCTGCCTTGGCCTCCCAAAGTGCTAGGATTACAGGCATGAGCCACTGTGCCTGGCTGAGACACAGATTTTTTAAATAAATCTGATTAAATGTTTGATAGGTGCAGAAAATGTATCTTTCGGCTTTTCTGTAGCTCCACTGCCTCAAAAGTTTTACTGGACAAGGTATTCTCAAGCCTTTAGAAGTTCTAAGTATCTTATGTTCTCCATTCATGATAACAAGTTCAGCTCCTGATAGGCCCTAAAAATGGCATAGAAATGTTAAGTAAGTGATTGTTATTTAGCTATATAGTTACCTTTGACTATTAAACTGATGTTCCTTGTAATATGAATTTAGCCATACATGTCTTTATTCTTAGAATATAAACAATATTATATGCTAGAAATGATATTGTTCAACGATTAAGAGAATATTCTTTGAATTGGTGTAGTTGTTTTATAGTATGCAAAATTTATACTCCTAAATGTGGTATTTCCCCTTTCTAGGAAAAACTTGACATGTCTAGATTTCCTGTTGAAAATATTAGAAATTTCAGTATCATTGCACATGTGGATCATGGCAAAAGTACTTTAGCTGACAGGCTCCTAGAACTTACAGGTATTTTCATTTATATTACATACTTAACTGATGGCTGAGAGTTATTGAGAATTACTTTCACCATACTCTTAAATTTTAATTTTGTAAGTAATATTCTCTTTCTTTTTTAAAGCCCAGAGAAATATCAGTGTTTCTGTTTATAGGGACAATTGATAAAACAAAGAATAATAAGCAAGTTCTCGATAAATTGCAAGTGGAACGAGAAAGAGGAATCACTGTTAAAGCACAGACAGCATCTCTTTTTCACAATTATGAAGGAAAGCAGTACCTTTTAAATCTCATTGATACACCAGTAAGTTTAATTTTGTATGTATTGTTAAAGTGAATATTGTGTCAGTAGTGCAAACCGATCCTTGTTTAATTTTTGAACTGAATATTAAACATCTGCTCTTACTTTTTGTTTTCTTAGTGTTCTTCTATTAGTGTCAATTGTTTCAAAAGCGCAGGCTACAAAAAAGAAACCAGTATTTAACAACTTTTATCAAGTAGAGTCAATAAATTTCCCATCATGCCCTTTCCTTAAAAATTACAGCTCACATTTACAGGTATCAATATTTTTGTTTCCCAGGGCCATGTTGATTTTAGTTACGAAGTATCCAGGTCACTTGCTGCTTGCCAGGGAGTTTTACTCGTGGTTGATGCAAATGAGGTAGGTGCTTTTCATTTTGTATGATGTGACATGTGATATGACATGACTGTTTGGTTGTTTCAAGAGTTTTTCTTTAAAATGTGTTTTGGAAATATAATTTTTGTGTTTAAAAAATAGATTTATGAGAAATACCTAATGCAGATGATGGGGTGATGGATGCACCAACCACCATGGCATGTGTATACCTATGTAACAAACCTGCACGTTCTGTACATGTACCTCAGAACTTCACGTATAATTAAAAAATAGTTTTAATCTATTACTTATTCAAAATCATATGGTTTCATCCTGTTAGTTTGAAATACTATTATACTAAAGCATTCTCTGGAATTGACTAGTGTTTAAATTGGAATTGTTCAAAAGATTGTTGTATTTTTTTGAAGTGTGATGTCATATTATCATTGCATCTTCCCAAAAAAAAAAGCCTACCAATTTTAGCAGTTCTTAATCTGAGCTTTCTATATTCGTTTTTAGCAGATCTTGCAAATAAATCTTTAGTTAGGCAATAATTTGGGGAGTATTCGGTTTTTAAAAAATCAATAACATTACTAAGCTTTTTTGTGCTGTAAACCCTAAAGATATTCAGCAGATGACCATATAAAAGCTGTGAAAGCTGTGAATGTACTTAAGTAAGATTTTGATATATGTTTCTCACAAACTCTTCATTCAGAACCTAATGTTTTGTTGCTGGTTGTGATGGTGTTGTGTTAAGCCTTTTCTGATTCTATTAAGGAAAGTCAGTCTCTAACTTATATAGGCAGTAGTGAGCTTTATAAACTGCCGTGATGACTGTGTTCTCTCAAAAGCTTTGAGGTCCTTGGGAGTCCATGTTACATCTTTGTTTCTTCAATGCCTGATAAATGCTTTCTGAACTGAAAGGAATTATCATAGAGAATGATCCAGATGCATAGAAAAATAGATACCCATAGTTGATTTGCCCTGTACCTTTCCTTAAAGGCTTCCTATCTCAAACTTAGTAGACTGTCTGTTCGGTCACTCTGCTTGATGTGGTTATTGCTTTACCATCAGTGATTTTCATTTTGACCGCAAAGACATAAGTTGGAAAGAAAAGTATGAAGGGTAGTTACGTGGCATTTTATTTAATTTTATTGTTAGCATGATGCAAAATCTCTTGATGAAGATATGTGGAGTGGTCTTAAATTACAAGTTTTGTGGTGGATAATAGAATGGTCATCTGAGTATCTTGTGTCTTGATCTTTTCAGGGTATTCAAGCCCAAACTGTAGCAAACTTCTTTCTTGCCTTTGAAGCACAGCTATCGGTAATTCCAGTTATAAATAAGGTAATTACAATAAGACAACAGTGTTATTATTTCACTTTCTAAAAGTAAAGTTAGTGTTTAAATGTCAATTGTACAATTTACTATATGAGGGATCTCCAGGTATTTATTAAATACATTGTGGAATTTATCTCTTTGTATTGTATGTAATGGAAGTACAACTGAAACTCTACCCTTACACACAATTGAGAAGATACTTTCCCTGAATTATCGTGCAGGTGACTGAGGGCCATTTCTGCAGGGTGGACAAATCATGTTTGTCAGATTAAACCATACATAGGAAATATAATCTAGGAAGAAACAAGACAACACATGAAGCATAAAAATTTAGTGCTAAACTGAGCTCTGTCTATAAAATTCCATTTCATATTTCAAAATTATCTTAATTTTAAAATCTGCATTGCTTTAAATTATATTTCTTGATATTGGGGTTAAGTTTAAAAGAAGGCCATAGGTAAGACAGCTTGTTGTCAGACAATGTTATATTTAAATCAACTTTTAAAATCAGTTCACATGCTGCTTAATTGATAAATTGCTACTGATCTCTTCTGCTGCGCTGAGTAGCCAACTGCTTAAGTTTTTTTGCATGCTCTTTGCTACCTAACTTCTCTTTTTCAGTCATGGTTATTAAATTGTACTGCTAATATATCAGTGATTTTTAAAAAAATAATAGTGGGGTCAGTTAGGTTAAAATGGGTAAGCTTTTTACTATCTTTGAATACTGTTAATACATAAGTCATCTTATCTTTATTGTACTAACACATAATGTTTTTTTTTTTTTTTCAGATAGATCTGAAGAATGCTGATCCTGAAAGGGTTGAAAACCAAATTGAGAAAGTGTTTGATATTCCAAGTGATGAATGTATTAAGGTAAAATACTTTCTAAAAAGATTATACTTTGGAAAAAATCTCAGGTAATTGAGCTAAGTGAAATTTCATGTTATTTGATAATCTGGCATTATATGCTGTTTTTGATAGTTTTACAAATTCTTTTACTATTATTTCCTTTGATCCTTACCAGAAGCTCTTTTTATATTGTTAGGACATACAGAAATTACTGTGATGATGTAGTTAAAGGAACTGAGGCTCAAAGGTTTTATCACTGTCCTAAGATCACAGGGTTAGCCAGTGTGCCAGGACCAAAACACAGGCCTTCTGAAACTCCCTGCATTATTGTTTATTGTATTGTCATTTTGTCCAATGGAAATATTGTCTTTGAAGAGCAGGTTCAAACTAATTTCAAGGCATTTGTCTGTATCATTCTTGGAATTGACAAAAACCTATTTTGTGAAAAGCTAGGTATACTAATGCTAGGAAACAATAGATTTTATTTATATCAAAGTAGCTACCACTTTAAATTTGAATTTTTACTTACCTTTCAAATGATGATTTCCTTGTTAAACTGCCACAGCCAAACTGCTGTGCTACATGGCAGTGTTACGTATGTCAGCGCAGCAATGTAGTGTTTTTCTTTCAATCTCATTTAATTTTTGAAAGAGCAAGTTATATATGGTTTTATATTTTGGATTGTGTTATATTAAAATATGATTATTCTGATTTTAATATTAACAAAAATCATTCAGATTCTTATTTGGTATATGCCAGCTAGGAGTATGGCAGTGAACAAGACAGACAGGACCCCTCCCTCTTTGCAGGCAGTAAATAAATAAGTAAACAAAGAAGTAAGCATAGGAATTATTGACTAGGATAGAGATTGTCAAGGAAATTCATTCAACAAATTGTATTTTTCTAGGTGAAATACCATAATAAACAGTGAAAAATCATTTTTTCTTAGAAAGATGTTATGACATGGAATAATTTAGCAAAAGCTTCTTTGATAATCTGAGACCTGAAGGAATGAATAGTTTTCAGAAAAGCATCCCAGGAAGGGAAAAGAGTATATGTAAAGGACTTAAATTAGGAAAAGATTTGTCATGTTTACAGATCAGAAAGCCAGACTGGGTAAGAATAGGTAGACTGGGTAGGGGTATGCAGGAATCAAGTCATGCTGGGACTCTTGCTGTGCTAAAAAGCTTGAAAATTATTCTAAGGCAATTGAAGAATTTTAAAGCAAGAGGAACAAATAAACCAGTTATTGGGGTAGCCTTATAGAGAATGGATCAAAGAGGTCCAAGAAGAGAAATAGAGAATCCAGCTAGTAATAGTAGCTCAGATGTTAAACTATTATTATTATTACTATTATTTTTTTCCCTGAGACAGAGTCCTGTTCTGTCGCCCAGGCTAGAATGCAGTGGTGCGATCTTGGCTTACTGCAACCTCTACCTCCTTGCTTCAAGCAATTCTCCTGCCTCAGCCTCCTGGGTAGCTGGGATTACGGGCGCCTGCCTCTGTGTGCCCTGCTAATTTTTGTATTTTTAGTAGAGACAGGGTTTCACCATTGTGGCCAGGCTAGTCTCAAACTTCTGACCTTGTGATCTGCCCGCCTCAGCCTCCCAAAGTACTGGGATTACAGGCATGAGCCACCGTGCTCGGCCCAGATGTTAAATTATTGTGGCTAAGTATTAACAATCCATATGAAGAGAAAAGGAGATTATCATCCAGGAGGAAACAGCATAACACATAAAACATAATAGTTCGTTGCTAAACTGAACACTATCTACAAACCTCCATTTCAAAATTAATAAAAATTAATAACCTTAATTAAAACATTTATAAAGAACCTTAATTTTTAAATCTGTAGGATATTAAATGATGTTTCTTGATTTGGAGTTAAGTATATAAGCAGCATGGCTGCCCATAAGCAAGATCACTTGTTGTCAGGTTCAAGAAATTGTGACATGGTAAAAGTCCCATAAAACTGCATACCTCAACCATACCTCAGCTTTCTGTTGAAACTGCTCTCTGTAACCCTAATGTGACAGGCAAGCAGTCAAAACCAATGCCATCTTGGCCCCTGTGACTTGTAATAAGTAATTAAGGCCTGTGATTTCCACCCTACACAGACAATGTGTAAACAAATGCTTATCTTGACTTTTGTGAAACACTTAAGTAACAATCAGAATGTCGAAAGTCCCCTGGCCCTCGGAATGTCCGGAGCCCCTCACCCTCATCTCCACCCAGGAGGTGATTTACAGAATCTACTAGCTCTCTGAATGTCTGAAGCCCCTTACCCCCACCACCCCCCCACTCTTACCCCCGAGGTGGTTTTATGGCTATAAAATGTCTTGACACTCTCCTTTTGGGGCCACGGGTTGGAGGGGTTGGAGAGACGCGAGTCCTCCGTGGCCACAGGCAATAAAGACCCTGCAATTTGGCATACTTTTGTCTTGGTGTTGATTTCCTGTGCTTGGGCCAGTACAACAAAATGAACCAGACCATTTATTTGATTTTTTTCCTCCAGTAATGTTAAGCTGCTCTGTATATGGGCATAGAAAATACACATAATTAGATGCAGTCAAGGTGGATGTTTTGCCAGCTGCCTATAACGAGGAAAGAGTAGAAAGTGGTTGAACCAGAGTGACTGGAAATAATGGATCTTAGAGTCCCATCTGGGAAAGGAGAGAAATGGGGTGGAGGGTGGAGCTGATGGACAGCATCAATTAGTATATTCAATATATACAAGTTAAGGACTGTTGTAAAGAAAGTACTACAGTCTAGAGCAGTGGTTGTCAGTGGTGATGGTTTTGCCCCTGGGCAAATACTTGGAGACATTTTTGGTTTTCATAACTTAGGAGGGATGCTACCAGCATCTTGTGGGTAAATGAGGTGCCCTGGTTGCTGCTGAACAGCCCCAAAACAAAGAATTATCTGGCCTGAAATGTAAGTAGGGCTGAAACTGAAAAATCCTAGTCTAGAGTGAATGTGAAGGGTAAGAAGTTTGAAATCAGGATTTAAGAGGTAGTCCATTTATTACTGGTGATAAAGATCAGTCATACCATGTGGTTTGAGTATTGGCCTGCTTTTCTGCTGTGAGAACAGTGAAGTAGTAAGATGCATTATAGTTTCATGACATCCATATATATTGTTTATCCACACAACAACCTTGAGATTTAGGCAGAATATGAATAATCGCTTCGTTTTTTTAGATGATGAAATTTAAGCTCAAGGAGATAGATACTGGTCAAATACATGCAATCAATGCAGAGACATGATTGTTATCCAGATTTTGAACTCTTAGTCTATTCCTCTTTCAATACCATAATCAGGAGTCTCTTCTAGTTCAATCCTAGAACCATAGAACTACCTAACTATATTAGAAAAAGAGGTATTTGTCAGTATGCTGTTTGCTTTGTTTTCTTCCTTTTGCTGTATTTCTCAAAAGTATAGTCTTAACTTTAAATGCTTATTTTTTTCCCATGTATGCTTTTAGATTTCTGCTAAACTTGGAACAAATGTTGAGAGTGTTCTTCAGGCAGTTATTGAAAGAATCCCCCCGTGAGTATTTTGTGATTTTTGTACTAGTTGTCGCTATTTAATAATTCAAGAACTGTCTGTATTTAATAGTTCAAAGACTGTCAGTGTGAACTGTTATTTTAGCTAAATAGATGTGGCAAATATCCTTACAGGGAGTGAGAATAAATTTATTTGCTTTTAGTAATACATAGAAGGCAAGTTCAGTAAAGTAAAAGAAAAAGCAAAGATGATTAATAGAGGTCTCTTCTTGACAGTCATTATAAAACATACCTCAGTACATTGGCAGTTATTTTCCTTTGCTTTAAGATGAACAACTATATTCATAAGTAATCTGTTAAAACTAGAGGTTATTAAATCTATTTTATAAAAAGTTCTTTTTATTTAGGCTGTTGTGTATCAAACCTTCTCAAGAACTCAAGTACAATATCTTAAGTGACCAATATGAATTTTACTAAGATTTTAATTTAGTATGTATGTATTTACTTTTACTTGTATGTACTAGTCCTAAAGTGCATCGCAAAAATCCCCTGAGAGCTTTGGTATTTGACTCCACCTTTGACCACTATAGAGGCGTGGTAGCCAATGTAGCATTATTTGATGGAGTGGTTTCCAAAGGAGATAAAATTGTATCTGCACATACTCAAAAGACATACGAAGTTAATGAAGTAGGAGTTTTGAATCCTAATGAGCAGCCAACTCATAAATTGTAAGTAATCTGCGTTAGTAATTAAAATGTATTTGTATGTTTTTCTATTTGTTTTTTTCTCAACTTGGTGTGCTTAGAATGATCCTTATTTACTAACTTAAAAAAAACTATTATTGCAACGATACAGTAAATGCTTTGTCAAAAGGAAGCTCATGTGGGTTTGTGGACTGTAGTACTGGAAGCCTTAGTTATACCACATTCAGCCTATAATTACACTCTGATTTGATGGGATTTTTGTTTTTTGTTTTTTTTGGTGCAAATGATTAAACAAAGTCTTTCCTGTTTATTGGGTGCAATGAAGTATAGCAGATAAAATAGGGGTGGGGTAAATTATCACCTTTAACAAGATTAAATGTTTTTATATATATTTGGAATTGTTAAATTGGTTTTGCTGAGACATTTCACCCTTGACATACTATTTGAATGTTGGTTTCAATAAAGGTTCTTGAAATTGTTAAGAGAAAAAAAAAAAAAAAGATGAAGGATAACAGAAACATCACTGGTTATAAATTATGATACAGGTTTTTATTCTGGATGACTAGTCATAACTAGGTTTAGGATCCAAGGTAGATTGGATGCTATATTGATATTTGATGAGACAATGAAAGAGTTAGTTCCCTCCACCCATATCCATATTGGGTATCATTTTTGACATTTCTTCATAACTAGATTTTCCACTATAAAGGTATTATAGAAACATTAATAAATCTTTGTGTGGAATTCATGGTAAAACCTTGATTAAAATTCTTGGGGAGTGGTATTAGCAATGGTAGTATGCATTACAAAAACACATCTGAATTGACTTATAAAAGAACTTTTTATTGAGTGCCTACTCCATATCAGGTACTGATGAGACATGACCTTGGATACATAATTTGAGCTTTGTGAGGTCCTGTTTCCTCACAATAATTCCTCACAATAATTTAATTTCTGTAGAAATTATTGAACCAGATGACTATCATATTACATTTGAGTGTTTAGTGTTGTATGTCTAACAACAACACTATATTGAGTTAGAAAGTCTAATTTTACTGAAATATTTTCACATTGATTTATATTGAACATTATCACATATATAGTGAATAATATCATATCTTCATTTAAGGTTCTTATAGCTCATTCTAAGTATAAATTAGTTTAACTTTGTAGGGAATTGTGTGTTTTCTTTGTCATTTTTTTTAACTAAGGTTAACCTGAACTCATGGGATTTGTTCTTTTGCTACAGGAGGAGTATCAAATGGCCAGTTTGTTGAAAGTTTATATTTTTCTTGGATAAAAATTTACCTTTTTTTCCCTTTGTTAAAGAACATTTGCAACATCATTAATAAAAGATATCACAATTAGTATACATTTTGTAATGCTTTTGTACCTACTGGTTTCACTGTATTTACAATATATTTTAGAAACTGCTGTTTAAATTGCAAAGGTTGGCAGAGTCATGAAAAAGACCTTAGGTTAATGAGTGGAGAGGTATAATGGATTGTAGATCTGGTGTGTTCATTTGCTGACAAGCTTCAGAGTTTGAGAATTGATATGTAGCACTTATTTTCAGTTTGACAAGGTTTTGTTTGGAAAGTGTATGATAGTTTCCTGGAAGGTAGAATTAATTGTGAGTTACGTGCTTGAAACATTAAAGCAGTAAATATTTGCATATAATAATTTTATTTAGATATGCAGGACAGGTGGGCTATCTGATTGCTGGGATGAAAGATGTCACTGAAGCACAAATAGGAGATACATTACATTTACATAAGCAACCAGTGGAGCCCTTGCCTGGGTTTAAATCAGCGAAACCAATGGTATTTGCAGGTGAGGAGCTCACAAATTCAAAGGTTGAGGGCCACAATATTTTTAATCTAAAGGTCTTACTCTATGGTTAAAGAAAAATTACTACAAGATATATATACATTCTGATTATTTTAAATAACTACTAATTCCAGCTTATTGTTCACTTGATTCTTTGTGCTGTTTATCAGTTTATAATTTCATATGTATGATGAAATTTTATGTGGGAGATCATTTAGGACTCGTTAAGAAATTAGCTCTTCAGGAAGAAGCTGTGATATATAGAACACAGTTATACAAATTTATTTCTTATTTTTCTAGGGAGTTCATTATATTTTAAACATTTTACTAATTAGGATGTTTTTATTATTATCAATAGACACTGAGTGCCTTCATCTTCAATAGACTTTCTTTAATATTATATTGTACTCATGTAGACATGACAGAGAATGGTGTTGCCTCAGTATGTATAATTTCAGAATTGTTTATTTCCTTTACTTTGGAAAAAGGAAGACCTGATTGAAGATCATCAGGTTATTCTGTGCTGAGTATCTAGCCCTTGGCTTTCACTCTATAGTCCTCTCTCACTGGGAATTAGGAGCTTTGTTTACCCTTACCTGTAGGCAAAGTCAGTCATCTGGATTTTAGAGGACTTCAGAGGTGTCAGATGAAAGAGAATCAGTAATGGCTCCCATAGTTTTTGTCAGTAAATAGCAAAAAGCAAAATTTAACTTTGGTTTTAAATAGATAATCTGCCTTAGAGAATTGAGAGCCAGTATAGTTCTTCATTTCTACTTCTATTTTTATCTAATAATAGAGTTTCATTTGGGTTGTGGAATGTCTTGTGCTTTTGTTTTTTGAAATACAATGTGTTTTCTTAATAGGACTAATTCACATGGTTTTTAAAATTTTCCGCTTTTTTCAAAACCCTTAAAAACATTGGAGTGCAAATCTAGTTGTATATTCTTTAAGACTAATGATTTGTAAGATACATTGAAACCAATTTAACATAATACTCATAATTTTTAGCAAACCAGTATTTTGGATAATAAAATACAAACAAGTAATTTACAAGGTAAATGACTAATTTTGAACTTGGGAGCACTACACATGTGGTTTGATTGTTCTGTAGATAGCTTATCACATGATAACTAGAAATCATTGTATCTCCAGGAATATATCCTGTAGACCAATCTGAATATAACAATCTGAAGAGTGCCATAGAGAAACTGACTTTAAATGATTCCAGTGTGACAATTCATCGGGATAGTAGCCTTGCTCTGGGTGCTGGCTGGAGGTAAGATTCATTCATATATATATTTTTTTTATAGGAAAGGCAGGTTTTAAAAATATTTGTATAGGTAAGGGAGATATAAATGGTGCATTGCTCTGGAACATTTACTGAAAATAAGTTTGTATTAGTGTAAAGTGAATGAAAACAATTTTTATCTGCCTGTTTCGTTTTGTGGGTTGACTTTTTATTGATAAGTTTTATAGTGATTTAAAATAGATTCCCAGTGTAAGATTTTAATCTTATTTAATAAAATTATGCTAGCATTTAATTATATTGTGAATTGTTTGAATGACTCTTAATTCCATCCCTCCCTTAAAGTAACAATATGTTCATTAAAAAAAAGAAAATGAAACCTATGGAACATAAACATTTTGGAGTTTGTCTTTTTCATCCCCCAGGCTAGGATTTCTTGGACTTTTGCACATGGAAGTATTCAACCAGCGACTAGAGCAAGAATATAATGCTTCTGTTATTTTGACAACCCCTACTGTTCCATATAAAGCTGTACTTTCATCATCAAAACTGATAAAGGTACTTGATATTTATTTGCATTAGTCTCTTGGAAAAAATAAATGTGTATATATACAATGCAGGAGAAACTTTTTAGTATACCCGTAGCTTATTAGGTATTAAACCAAATATTTATTGATTAGTAGTAATAAAAATTGAATTATCCTGTGGCTAACTGATGAAGAAATTTTTGAAAACTACCTTAATGTCATATTTTTCTTAACCTGATATAATCTCAGCATTATCAAAACTAGTCTATTGCTAAAGTAAAAGGTAAAATTAGTAGTGAAAATAATGTTCTGATTCTAGCACAAAGATGAAAAATGTAAATTTGGTCATAAGTAATTGATCTCATAAAAAGTGAAGCATTCATTCCTGTGACTGGGAAATTTTAAATTCAAATCAGTGATGAAAACAATATTGTATTCCATGCAAGTGGCAATCTGTTCATTTTAAATAAATATTAATTTGGGCAGTCTAAATATTTTCCAACAAAAATTAACTTGTTAAACTAATTATGTTTTATAACTGTCAGGTTAAAATGTATTCTTTTGTCATACTTTTTCTAAATGGTCCATTAAATATGTTTAGTAAATATCAATAATTGGATATATTATTTACTAATACGTGTTATTAGTATTAAATGATTATAGCTGGAGGGATTTTAAAATATAAAGCAAACTTTTAAGAAACATGATAATCATTATATTAAGATTTCTTTTTAAGTATTGCTGATTTTTCTAATTTTTAGGAATATAGAGAAAAAGAAATTACAATTATCAATCCTGCACAATTCCCTGATAAATCAAAAGTAACAGAATATTTGGAGCCAGTTGTTTTGGGTACTATTATCACACCAGATGAATATACTGGAAAAATAATGATGCTATGCCAGGTATAACTGTAATACAATTTAATACAAAATTAGATTTTACTCCTCTAAAATAGTGATTTCCAACTCAGGTTTTAAAATATTTCTTTCTGCTGAGCATACTGAATAAGAGATTTTCATATATATTTGTATATCTATACATGTATATATAAGTGTGTATACTTTTTAAATTATTTTGATTTTAAATAAGAAGAACATTTCTGATAATTTGTGTAATTAACTGATTTGATATTTTAGCCTAAAGAAATTTGATGCTTACTTATCCTGAAGTAGCTAAACATATAATTTCTTTTAGCCTTTTTGAGTAGTTTGAAAGATAATTATAGTACTTCAGGTACCATAAATTTGAAGGTATTCCATTTTGCTTTAGTTCTCACCACAGTGTTATACATGATTTAATCCACAAATGGTATGTAATTATATTTCTTAAAAATACCTATGTGAAATATTCGTAGATATTGGAAAATGTCAAATGGTGACTTGCGTTTTAATTATGTTAAAAACTAGATTGTAATCTTGATCTTTCACTTTTAATTTCTCTGGACTTAATAATTTGTAAAACAAGAAATTAGGACTTTTAATTTTTATTTATTGTTAAATGAAATAGTGTTTATTTTAAAAGATAAAATTGTTAAAGATTAAAAGCTTTGGTAGAAATCATAATGTAATTGAAATACAAAATGTTTCTCCTTTGATTATGAATACTGCTCACAAGTTTTTACTAGACCATTAGATAAATACATTATTCCTCAATATTTGAGTAGGTTATCATTAAACTCATTTTTTTCCTTCCCTTTTTAGGCTCGAAGAGCAGTTCAGAAGAATATGATGTTTATTGATCAAAATAGAGTTATGCTTAAGTATCTCTTTCCTTTGAATGAAATTGTGGTAGATTTTTATGACTCTTTGAAATCCCTATCTTCTGGATATGCCAGGTAAAATATTAATGAGAACCTAAGATGCCTGACCAACCTTTTTGAAATATTGATGAGCAAGAGTATACTAATTCTTCATTTATTTAGTAATTTCTGCTCTCTTGAAAATAGATGAGAATCATACACTAAGGTTAGAATGACTTGGAGCAACCTCATAGGTGTTACAGAGTACTTGTAATTTGCTTATAGGAGAAAAGTGTCCGTTCATTTATTATCTGACTTTTATTTCTCTTTTTTTAAAAAAGGTCCCTTTTTCATGAAAAAAGTTGTATTTCTTGTGTATTAAGAATTAGACCTAATTTCAAAAATTACTGTAACCTCAAAAGCACTTTTAAAATATATTTGTATGTTATGTAATCTCAAGAACATCTATTTATATTTGAAAAGTAGAAGTGCATATTCAGTATGTAAAAAATGCTAACTGTGCTCCTGCATTTGTGAACACTTTAATAACTTAGTCTTTCCAGGAACAGGTTGTCTACATCATGAAAACTATTGAGTATCTCAGAGGAGTACATGGAGAAAAGTCAGATAAACGTGAAAGGAGAGTTACTATTAAATAACAAATAAGGAACTCAGGGCATAGCATTCTGAGAGGCTGTTTGTTGTTGTTGCTGGAGCATTTAACTCTAGATAACCTCACTATGCCCTAAAATATTATGTTACAGGATAGTATATAGTGGAATATAGATATAAAACATGCTAAAGCAGAAGGGGAAAAATGAGCATTGACATCTATATACTTCCCATACAGTGCATGAATATTAATATTAACATGCAGAGACAAATTCCATTGATTAAAGAACATGTTGCAGTGACTTGGAAGTTTAATTTTATTTATCATCTTGTCAGTGAAGAGAGTTAGCATATATGATAACTCTTCTTACCAAGGAATCTTCATGTCCCTTTGTGTTGAGAATTTTTTTTCTACTTTGTCACCCAGTTTTTTTCTCGTATGTGTCTTTCAGACAAGACGTTGAGCAAGTAAGTGGCAATGGAATTTAAAGTAACATAAATTGAGAGGGCATATTAAAATTACCAGAGTTGAAAGGAAGATTAGTAGGTTTAATATTTATAAATATTTTTAACAGAAGTCTGTCAATTTTAGTTTGCATTTGGGTACTACTTTCTCAATTATAAGTGATCTTTAAAAGTCTTAGTTTGGAAATTTAAATACATTTTGAATTTAATGAAAGAACATGATTTATTTTTGAACTACATAAAAATAAAATATTCCAGCTTCCAGCATTAAGGTAATTGTTATGTTGAAGATGGATGTTTTACATATGCAGTCAATTCCACACTTAACAGAAATTCATAGACTATGGGCTATGGATTAAGATCAGGAAAAAATTTCTTTCATACCATGAGGCAAGAATCAACTGCAACAGGGTCAGCGCAGGAATTCCTGTGTTAATACAAGGGCTGTAGCGATGCCTAATCAAACAGGCATTTGCCCTCAACCCATAGCCTCAGTAGCTTTTTGGAATTAAAAATGCGTTTCCTGCATTCTAAGAAGAACAATAGAATACCTATGTTTGGAGTAGAGGTTAGGTATCCATTGGGCTGCTTGGAAACAGAAACACAATTTTTATAATGATTTCTTTTGAAGAAATGAGTTAAGAAACTTTTAATATTCGGACCACAACGTAGTTGGAGCTATAACAGCCTCAAAGTTAGGGACCACATCTGTTTTATTCTCTCCCTGTTATATTTGCTTTGTATTCTGTATGGTGCTTAACATGGTGTCTTTCATACAGCAAATGTTTAATAAGTGATGCTTCCTGAAGAAAGGATTTTAACAGTACTTCTGACAGAAATCTGGTAATAGAGTATATTGTCACTGTGACCATCCTGCTGAAAATCTTTAGAAACCAAACATAATTTTGCAAGTCCAGGCACCAATTGTTTTAAAATTAAGACAACAGGAGTATACATGTTCTTGTCTGTGATTGGGACAACTTGTAAGCCTAATTGTTAGACTTCAGTTTTATAAGTTAAACATTTAGATGTTGTTTTGACATTGCAAGCTTTGACCACTTTGTTAAAACAGCTGAAACTAAGTGCTCGTATTTATGCTAAAGTAGGCTCTATTTTAATGCTTATTTTGTACTAGGCATGGCTCTAAGTGGTTTACATGTATTAACTCATTTAATCCTCACAAAAGCCCTGTGAAGGGAGGTTCAAGCTGAAGGGCCAAATAGGAAATCCAAAAGTCTCATTTATTAATGGCATTTTATGAGAGCCATAGTATTTATTAAAACATAGAGTTGTCATTGGGAATAGAAAGCTAAATAGAAACTCAACTCATGAATCTGAAAATGATCCATTAATATATACTATTGTCTGAAGCCTGCCAGCTGCTGGGAACATTGGGAAGGCATGGTATTTGTCTTCAATAAACCATTTTCTTTGTCAGGTTCACCAATTTCTTTTCCTTCCCCTTGTAAACATATTCCCCTTGCTTTGGCCGGTGATTTAATAAACATAAAAAGACGATAACATTTAGATCCATTCACAAGAAACTGTATATGTAATATTTTGATGGAAAGTTAGATCTCTTTGGGGAGTGTAATGGGGCAGAAAATAGACATTTTGTAAAGAGTAAAAAGCTAATCTCTTGGGAACTGTAATATTTATCACTTGGACTTTTTTCCTTTTAGTTTTGATTATGAAGATGCAGGCTACCAGACTGCAGAACTTGTGAAAATGGATATTCTACTGAATGGAAATACCGTAGAGGAGCTAGTAACTGTTGTACACAAGTAAGCTTAATAGAAACTAATGATGGAATGCAAAAATACTCACTTTTGACATGTTTTTATTTTTTGCTTATTTTTATTTGAGCAGCTGCATTTAAAAAACTATTAAATGTAATTAAAATAGATTTCACACCACTAGCTTTACTTTCTCTTCTTTTCCACACTTTTCTCTAGACTACTAAAAATAGAAAAGAAACAGTTATAATAGTCTAAAAGAATAGTGTTATAGAAATGTTTCCCCTTACTATGTAAAAAAAAAAAAGTTAAAAAAATTTTGTGATGATGGATTTAGAATTGGGAACAAAAAGTTTTTTTATATTTGAAAAAAAATTATAAAAAGGAAAAACCTGTGTTCAAGAAACAGCAAATTGGTTAAATTATGCAACACACTTATTGTTATTTTAAACCATTAAAACTTGTGGTTTAATATTTATTGACAAAAATGTCTATTAAATAAGAGGGTTAGAATATATCATAAACACTGATCATACTAAAAAAAGTTAAAAAAAAATGACTAGAAAGGCAATATGTTTAAAATAAACATTCCAAAATGTTTTAAGTTTTCGGTAGGTAAGGAAAGAGAATCAAGAACTGTTTCTATACTCGAATATTTGTATTCCTAAGTTTTCTATAATCACATATTACCTTTTTAATTCAGAGAAGTTGTTTGTGATTCAGAGTTAAGAGATGTTTATGATAATTCCATTTGAACGTCTTTAGATCACCTATACATTGATTATGCAACTAACTAGAAAGATACTTGAAATATTCTTATGATATATAAACAGTTGTATTTTTCTGTCTCAGAGACAAAGCACACTCGATTGGCAAAGCCATGTGCGAACGGCTCAAGGATTGTCTTCCTAGGCAACTGTTTGAGATAGCAATTCAAGCTTCTATTGGAAGTAAAATCATTGCAAGAGAAACGTGAGTTGAAATTCATTTTTGTTCTTGAGTCAATTTCAGAAATGATATACCTAAAAAGTTAAAGAATATGGAACACTGTAATTTAACATTGGCCTAAACTGTATTCTTACTTGAAGAAACAGTATGATAGTGTTCTCCATTTTTCTGATTTAAGTAATGACTGTTACTTTGGATTACTTATATAGCACCATTGGATGATATGATTTGCAGTTAGTATAATGTATATGGGTTTGAGGAATTGTTTTAATCTCTACTCATATTAATGAATGACTATATTGAATTTCCTAGGTAAGTAATTTCTTTATGGTTTTATCCTTTTGGGCAGGTTATAAATTAATAGAAACTGAAACGAAAAGGTTTTGTCTCTGAAATGACAAAATTACAATTTTTTTTTAACCTGAAGCATTTAATATCACCTCCCCACTTCCCCAGAGCTAAGGAGGTTATAAATCAAAGAATGCTAATACTGTGTTAGGATTTGCTCTCTAGATTAGGGACCTCACATGACTTATAGTAGATATGGAAGATAGGCTTTCTGTAGGACACTAGTCTTTCATGAAATATAATACATAAATCTAACACTGGCTGGGTGTGATGGCTCACATTCTGTAATTCCATCTACTTGGGAGATTGGGGCAGGAGGATTGCTTTGAAACTATCCTGGGAAACAGTGGGACCCTGTTTCTTAATTAAAAAAAAAAATAAAAAAAAAATAACAGTGAAGAACACTGAATAAGCTACTCTGCTTATAACAGTAAGTGCAGAACATGTCTTATAGCACTTCCCATTTCCTTTCCTTAATGATGCTAAGACTTCTCGGAAGTAGGAAGTACCTCCTCAGTTAGGAAAAGTTGTCAATTGATATTAAATTCTACCTTAACCCAAACCTAATGGGGAAATACAACCATCATTTTAATATAGACTTGAGGTTAATTTTAGGTCCATTGTTTACAATACATTTTATTTCCTAACACTGTTTTGCTTCAGTTAGTTACTCTGTTTCATAAATACCAAGACCAGGCAGAATGGAGATGATAACCAGGGAACATCCTGGAAGGTACAATTTAAGAGTTAGCAAGTGCTCATTCTATCATAAATGTGTTGAGATAGAGAATACCTTAAAAAAATAGATTTATTTGTCTTAAGGAATATGTAAAGATGGAGCTGTTTTCAAAATTAGAGTGATCTAGAAATTTCTCAGATGTTACAGATTAGTTTATAACTGCTGGTGTGGATATATTTATCTTCCTAGCCACTCCATCCACATTCAGTATGAGGCAGTAATAAGATAATAAACATTTTTTGTTTTTCTGTAGTAGTGGGAACAGTATTTTAAGATTGAGTAAAAAATAACCTTATATAATTCTTGTAATCAAGGTCACATCATGCTTGAATTTGGCCTAATCAAACCTGACTACCATAAGCCTTGACCTTTTTTTCTTAATGTGTGTTGATAAACATGTTGAATTTATTTGTTCTTTTATGCCAAGTACATGAAAATAAATACAAGAGCATTTGAGGTATCTATATGCTTATGGCAATTTTACATAGGTAATAATACTATCATTAAAATTTACTAGTAAAGGGGAGATTGTTTTTGGTAAGAAAGTGCTTTTAAACAGTATAATGGAATTATGTACTTAAACAAAATTTTCTCTTTTACAGTGTGAAAGCCTATAGGAAAAATGTTTTGGCAAAATGTGTATGTATCTAGCTATATTTATTTTACTTTATAACTTTTATGGCTTTTAAATCAAAGAGGGCATAAACTTAATGATTTCCATTGTTGGTTTGTATACATCCTTTATCTCCAAGTTTTCTTTTTGAATAGGTAAATTTCAGCTTGACCATGGCAACTCGTTCATTTTGACCATATCCTTAAATATTTTTCATCTTATTTATAAAATAAAAATTTGTAAAAATTTTTTTATTTTATGAAAATTGTTCTTATATGTAATACTAAGGAAGATTTTTATAACAGTTATTTCGGTGATCAGGGTTACGTTTTCTTGATCTAACATACAATGAAAGATTTTGAAAACAGTGCACTTTATCTTACGGTTGAAATCTACCTCTGACACTGCTTTGCCAGTTTGCTATCATTCAGCTGTTAAAAAATTATTCTTGCCTGGGCTTGGTGGCTCACATCTGTAATCCCAGCACTTTGGGAGGCCAAGATGGGCAGATCACTTTAGGCCTGGAGTTCGAGACCAGCCTGGCCAAAAAGGCGAAACCTCATCTCTACTAAAAATACAAAAATTAGCCAGGCATGGTGGTGTATGCTTGTGATCTCAGTTACTCGGGAGGCTGCAGCATGAGAGGTTGCAGTGAGCAGAGATCACGCCATTGTACTCCAGTTTGGGCGACAGAGAGAAACTCTGTCTCAAAAAAAAGAAAGAAAAGAAAAAGTATTCTTAAATATTGTTTAGAATTAAATTATCAGTTCTTTCTCTAAATGCTCAATATAGGTTTTGGCACATTTATTCCTATGTGATTAAGAGTTTTCTATATTAGACTGTGGGTTTATAGTCAAAATTCCAAGCCTAGAATCAGTAATGAGATTGATAATTCTTGACATGCATATTGTAATACTACTAGGTTTCCTTGGGGATCTTCACCTCCATCCAGAATAAAGCCTTTATCATTCTTGAGAAGACAGTAAAATCAGGATCTGCTAGGAAGATTATAGAGATGTCTGCCTTACGGATAATTTGGTGTGGTTGTTAAGATTGTACTGATGTCTCTATGTAATCATACATTTTCTAGAATGACTTAGACTTCCAATTTTTTAAAATATCTTTCAGTATGGTGGTGATATTACCCGAAAAATGAAACTTTTGAAGAGACAAGCAGAAGGGAAAAAAAAGCTGAGGAAAATTGGCAACATTGAAGTTCCAAAAGATACTTTTATAAAAGTTCTGAAAACACAATCTTCTAAATAATTGATGGGGAAACAAAGAATTTTAATAAATTAAAAACTATCTTTTTCTCATTGCAATTTGTAATATGCTGACAACAGAATGAAAATTATACAATTTGCTTGTTACATTCAGGGTTTTCAGGCTTAAATAACCTACTAGCCTTTTGTTGAAAGGGAGTAATGAGTGGGTAGGTAAGAGCTTAGATTTTGAAGCAATGTTGTCTGTTCTCTAATACCTGTTCCAACCATTCACTAGTAAGGTGACCTTGGCCAAATTAACATGTTTCCTCTTTGGTAAAATTGAGATTATATTACTACCTACATAGGTTGTTGTTGTTGTGAAGATTAAATGAGGTAATACATTAAATACTCAGAAGTACATGACGTAGTAAGCACTCAATCATAACTAAAGTGCTTAATGTCATCAAAAGGTTCTCAGAAGCCGACTTTAAGCAAAATGACATGTAGAAGAAAGTCCTTGAATAATGTCATTTCCTTCTAAGTGGTTTATAACATTGATGAGAAAAAAAGCCTTGGTTTCTTAATGTATCATTTCATTTAAAGTCACAATTTCCGTGAATCTCAGTAAGTGAGGACTTGCTATATTTTGTTTTCATGGAGTTTTCCCTTACTGACACTAAAAGGCCCCATACTTAAGATTCCATCTACTTTAAGTTAAAGGATTTTAAAAATCACCTTAAATGTCACATTTGTTAGCAGGATTAATTTATCTGATATATGAATCATTTATTAAACAGTAAACTTAAATAACATACTATCTAAACATCTGCTCCAGTTCGTGATAAAATGTTTATAGATTTTATCAGGTTGTTAGTTTGAAACTAATGGTTTACATACATCTAAGTTAAGGACGGGAGCTTTCTTTCAGACATTCAGAACACATTTGTGTAAAATGACCAGATGTTTGGTATTACCAGGAGCTCTTAATGAGTTTAATAATTGTTTGAATTTCATAATTAAAGAGACTTAACTTTAAAGTAACTTGAGATTTCATAGCCAGTAAATATCTCTTCAAAGCTCTCAGCTCCCATGTTTATTCAGCCAATGAACAAACCAGACTGCAGACTATATTACAGCAAGATAACATTAGTTAGCCATTGATCTTTATCTTTTACCTTGAATGAATTGAATGAAGAAAATGTATTTTAGGGATAAATACTATCAAGGTGGAATTTTATACTAAGGTTATGTGAAAGAAAAATAAATCTTAAAAATCACTAAGCCAAAGGGAAGTCAAGGTGGGAACTTACTGAGGCAAACCTGCCTCCCATTTTATTCCTAAATAAGACAGCCCACATAGATAAAATTTGCCCACAAGGAAATTCCTTGTGGACAGGGGACAGACAGAACTCAAAGTCATCCTTCTGTTCATGTGAAACAAATGCATGAATGATTGCTTCCTCGGCCCCATGTTTCAGTAAACCAGATTAAAATATAACTGACTATATCTCTACCTTCCTCTCACATGTAAATTGTATATTCAGAGAAAGGCTAATCAGAAAGTCAAAAGAATGCAACCCTTTGCTCTTACCTGTCTATGGTTAAAGCTCCCTCCCTTCTTCGAGCTGTCCCACCTTTTAGGACTAGTGTACACCTTACACACACTGATTGATGTCTCATGTCTCACTAAAATGTATAAAACCAAGCTGTGCCGCAACCAACTTGGGCACATGTGGTGAGGACCTCCTGAGGCTGTGTCATAGGCACATCCTTAACCCTGGGAAAATAAACTTTCTAAACTGACTTGAGACCTATCTCAGATATTTTGAGCTCACAGTATTAAAGTGCAGATTTACTTAAAATTATGTGTAGAAGTAGCCTGTGACATAGTCCTAGATACATAAATTATCATCTAATGTATCTTCCCTCCCCCTTCCAGCTTCTTATAAAACACAGATGAAAACTGAAAAACCATGACAGTAGTATTTTGAAAATGACATTATTTGAGACTAAAAAATAATTTGTAAAACCAAGTGTTCTGTTCTATCACTGCCAAGGGAAAGTTACAAATTAGAACATAATATGTACTATGTGCTTGCTATTTAAAAATTTATCAATATTAGCCTTTTTAATTCAGATTAATTTTGTTTTCTTAACCTATGACTCTTTAGGAAACCTTTCAGTTATAATAGCACAAAAAAAAGCATGTTCCATAAGCTTAATTTCTTTCCCCTTCCCACTTTCCCACTCAGATGACTTAGTGATTTGGAGTTGTGTGCTTTCTAAGTGTATTCCTCAGATGACCTAATATTACTAAGATTTTAGCAAATATTAAAATATGTTTAAACACTTACCAATATTAAAATAAGCACTGTTTATTGAATTTAATATGTGACAACCACCGTGCTGAGTTCTGTATGCTTCCCTCATTCAGTGTATGTACAGGTTTGGGGGAAGAAACAGAGACTTCTTTATTTCCCAAAGTCACAGTTCTTGACAGAGCTGGGATTCAATGGTTTCTTTCTCCAAAAAGTTAAGTTCTTTGCCTGACAGCAGCTTAGCTCCTGAGTTAGGGAATGAAAGTGGCGAGTTTTCCACTCCTCAGCTTGTGGAGGAGCTTGAGTACAAGAACATCAACTAAGCCCCTAACATCAAGGGCAGGAAAATGGAAAGGAGAATTTTTAGACTTTTAAAGCACAGAAATAACTGGTGAATCATGTACCACAGTAGGTACCTGTAACTTTTTCACTGTGATGTTGTATGACTTTCTAAGGTTGGTAGTCAGCATAGTTTGTAGTAAACAATTTTTATTATGGGAAGTATAAGTGGAATGCTACTGATTCACTATTTAAAAAACATTTATAAGGCTATTAAAACATCATCTGGAATTAAAGTAAAGCAGCATAATTTATCCCACCCCAACTTTTAACCATAAAACCCTATTACCAATTTTATTTTATTTTTTATTTGCTAGTTTAATATTTTAAGAAACTAAATACATTTTAATCACACAGACAAGCAGATAAGTAAGGCTTCTTCTACCAGGTGGATTTATGAAATGCAAAATAAGCAAAAGAAAAGAAACATTTTGCTCCCCACAGACACAGAGATGTCTTTTAACCCAAATCTCCTAATGCATGATGGCAGCAAGCCCAAAATAAACGCAGGGTCATATGTACTGTAACTGTTGGGAACTGAATGTATATGTTCTTCAGTTTCACTTCTGGAAATAAATTTAGATAACTTTTTACACAGTTTATTTGAGTTAAAGATAGAAAACAATATGCTTTTATGTAAATTGCTATGGCAATCTAAAGTTTACAGTAATTCCTTTTATACATACTTCATATCCTTTTAGACATTTTATAAGGGATAAAGCTAATCATATACTAAGTTTAACAATAATCAGAAAATATTCTTCAAAAGAATTTCCTGAAGTGGGTTGGTAGGTATAAAGCTCATAATTGCCAAGATACTTATATTAGGGATATGAACCCAAGTCAATAAATAAAAATAAGATATTTGTAAAAAAGTGCTGTAGAAGAAGGTGCACAAAAAAACATGCACTTACACATACTTTCCAAAAGGATGTAAACTGTACTTTTAGGCACTGACATCTCTTCAGATTTCCTTTACCAACGATATATAGCACAATTTTTGATGTCTAGATGGTGCTGTAGGAAGATGACTAAGGCAACCACGTGCAGAAAAGCATGTGTGTAATGCACAGAAAACATAAAGATCACATTCCAAAAATGAAGATCTGAAATGAGTTTGCCATCTGAAAGGTCTGGAGTGTGTTCCTGTCATTAAAAAATGAAAATATATGCCACCACTGGAGTCATATCACAAAATGGTACCTGATGTGTACACTCTACCTTTAAGATGACTTTTTAAACAGGCAAGACATTTCTATGCTGTTTTATAGGTGGCCATGTGACTTCAGTACTTTATAATAAATAGCCAGTCAATCTTGAGAGCCAGCTACTTCTCTTAAATTCTAGTACAAGATATAAATATTCAAAATATGGAATGTTTAACGTAGATATTCGAATGAAAAAATGACAATCTTCAAAATTTCCCAAGTTTTGCTATATTGCATAGCTGAAAATTCATCTACTACTTAGAAAAAAGTGCTCTGTTCATTCAAGCAGAATTTTGCTCCAATCTCCTTCAATTTCCTTCTTTCATACTGTATAGTGGATCCACAAGTTTATTGTGCACATGCATTAGACCTTAAAGAAAAAAAGCACAGTTCCAGTTGTTTTTGTTAATTTTGAACTATCTCATTTAATTTAGACAACAAAATATTTTTTATAAGATACAGTAAATCTGTTTGGTTCTCATCTTGATATAAAATAGTCAAGTTTATTGAAAAAGTACAAATAGAAGTGTTTCAGAATGTCTAGTTTTATCTACCTAGCAAATACCAATTTATAATTATGTAACAGTGCAGATCTAGAATGTGTACAGGTACTTCGGGAGTAACCAGAAGAGCAGTTCTTGTCTTCAAAGAGAATCAGTATGACAAATTTGAATACTTAGATAATATATTTTAATTACATCTAAAAGTTTATGTCGATCTTGATCCTCTGGCAGTTCCTCTACTAGATTCTAGTGAGGGGCTCAGAACTGCTGTCTTATTCTTAATACATTACCCTATCCATTCATCTGGCAAATTATTTTCAACTAGTTTGGCATGTGTATTTACGATAAAGGTTAATTACAAATTCTACATTGAGGGAGGTTACTAAAACATTACAGAAAACAACCTGTACTAAATCATTTACTTCAGAATAGAAATTTAGATTTTAGATCAGGTAGATTGTAACTTTCATTTTATAATTGGTACATATGCTTGCCTATGAAAGCTTCTTGGGAAATAACTGATCTTCCAGTTGCTTCTGTCTTCATGCCTCAGTACTATATTTCTTTGGGGAGAAAAAAGTTCTAAAAAGACTGTCTTTAACCCAATTAATAAACTAGAGATTTTGTATTTTGGAGGGTAAATAAATGAATTAAATTTTTCAGGTTATTAAGAACATGGGAGGCTGGGGAAAGGTATTTACTACTCGGTTTTTGCAGGAAATGGGATTAATGGATTGGAGGGATAGGGTGCTTGTTAGTACATAGATGTTCCATGTCAGAAAGGCTGCAGAAAGCACTCTAAAATCCCAGCTTTGAGAAAGACCCACTTTTAAGGGACAAGCAACAAACACTGGCAAGTGTTTGTGTAGTAGTAGAAATTCTAACCCTAAGAACAGGAGTCTTCAAAGGAAGGAAGGGGGAAGCATTCCATTCACTAGTGCTGCAACTGAAAGAGAATGCTTACTTCTCAACAGCCTACTTGAAGGTCATATTAGCACTTGAAACTTAACATCCAGTAGGAGAGGGAAAAACAAAGATAAGGGTAGTATCAGCTGTATGATTTAGAGGAGGTAGCATTTTCCAGCGTATGACTTTGTGGAGGATTACTTTTCTACTTAAATAGTATTCATCTGTCATTTGCTAACAACTATGATTATGGAAAGAATACACAGAACTTTAAAATACATGAGACTTAACATATAAGGAAAAACATAAAAATTCAACTCTGTTATAAAGTTTGTTTTTCTATATATTGGATGTATCTTTTATACATCAAACAGGACTGCTTCCAAACCAGAAGTAAGTATTTTGAAAACTCTATTAATGGCTTTTTAGATATTAAGTCAGATATTTACTGTGACCTCAGGTAAAAACCGACAACTTTCTACATATAAATTTTATATAAATAATTGCTAGTTAAGTCAATCAGAAATAATTATTCTGATAAAAATGCACCAGACTTCCTGATACCTTACCAAAAGAAAGGTTAAATGTCACAGATTCTAACCAATATCTAATCAAAGTAACTTTTATGGTTTTGACTCAAAATGAACTCATTATACCTTTGTCAAACTACTAGGGTGGAGCCTACATACAAAGAGAAACAAATTCATGATGACAATGTCATGAAAACATACTAAAATCAAAGACATAAAGCTGTTCTATTTAAAAAGCAAAAGTGAAAAGCAAGAATGAATAAAATAAATCCCCAGGTACTAAATTTGTTTTCTTGTGATTTGTATCTTTCAAAAGGTACATAGTGAAATACACTTGCATTTACTGGCAATTTTTGTTGTTTTGGATCTAGTTAACTTTGATCTTATCTAGGCACTAAATGGAACCCTTTAAGATTCTGGGTGGCACTTTTTAGTGATGACAGAAAAAAGGGTAGTGATGTGAATGGAATTTGAAGAGTCATGGATGACAATTATAGGAATTTACATCCTCCAGTATTTTGATATACTAGTAACTAAATGGAGGGATGAAAAATATACAAACTTCATTTGAAATGTGTACATTTACGAATATTTAATTGCTCTACTCTTTACTAAAATACTATAAAATGAGGCCTATATGTAGCCCAGAATATCTAAATTCTGTCTTTATATTGAAGGAGGTATCCTAACAGAGGCTGGTATCCTGAAGCCTCTTGAGAAATACAGCTCAAGTGGAAAATACTATTTCCTCTTAGGCAATGCAGCTATCCTCTCATGAATGGTCTATTTCAAAATTTTTCAGAAAGGCTTACAATTTAGATAGATGAACTGAAAGAACTAAATACATATAAACAACTACCACCCTTCTAATTTAAATTTTCTAACGTATGTCTATATACCTTTTTTGGAAGCAATATGATTTGGGAAAAAAAAGCAGATGGAAATATGGTTTTGATGTAGATGGTATCTTACCTAGACTTTATTGTGGAAGGTAGTATA